CTTTGGAATGTTGACAAATGCTCCTGCCTTGCTGGTGGGGAAGCCACTGGGAGGCTGCCCTTGATTGTACTGGTCTCTCTGAGAGGCCTGGGCAGAGGGCTGGGGCCACCTTTGTGGGGACAGGGCGTCCAGTATGGGCAGCTCCCTCACTCTGTTCAAAGTGGCCTGGCTCAGACAGTGAGGCCTTTCATGGGGCCCAGCCCGCAGCTCCGAGGTGGGGCCAAAGGCCTCTTCTCCCTGCCCCCTCCCAGGCCTGCCTTCCAGTACCCCACACCCCTCTTGGGAGAGGCAGAGCAGGGAGGGTGGGAGCAGCAGGGACTTTGTAGTCTCGCATCCTGGATTTTAAGCCCTGCTCCACATTGCTGGCTTGTTGAATTCTCACAGAACCTCCCCAACGAGCAAATAATCTTGCCCCTCAGAGGGTTGCTGTGAGGTTCTGGTGAGCTCATGAGTAGAAAGTACTATGTAAACAGTCCACTTTCAACGACGTTTGGATCTCTCCCAGCTATATTTCTGTAGGAAGCCAAGCTCAGCATTGTAATGCTAACAGTAAGCACTCAATAAATGTTAGGGTAGGCATGTGTTAGGACCTTTATATACTTGATCTCATTGAAATTCCTCCCCCCAGTGATCCTTGGAAGGAGGTATTACAATCCCATTTTTACAGATGAAAAAATTGAGGCCCACAGAGGTCAAGCAGCTTGCCCAAGGTTACACAAGTTAGTTGGGAACTGGACTCGAACCCATGCTAGGCCGACCCCCAACACCTGTGCACAGCCTGTGTCATGTGGGTTGCTCCAGAGGTCACCCAAGCCTGCTCCTGCCCCCCAGGGCATGCGGGTCTCCTTTCGGATGGGGCCTGCAGCACTGTGGTCTCAGCCCGCTAATGGCTCTAGGCCACGCCCCTCTCCAGGAGTCTTCCACGGTTTCTGGGGACTCCTTGGCCTGGCCTCCGAGCCCCAACACTGGCCTCTCTCCTTCTGTCTCCACCTATGCAGGTATACCCAGCAAGTTCCCACCTGCTGCCCTTTGCCCGGCATTCGCATCACCTGAACCAGGGCTGTCCCCTGCTTCTCCTTTCTGCTGTTCCTTACAGCCTCTCTGCACCTCGGACCTTCCTCCTCTTTCAAGTCTCAGCTCTCAGGCCGCCCTGTCATTGATCTTTTCTTTTCTCTCTTCCACGAGCATTTATTGGGCACCCACTGTGTGCTGGGTGTGAGTCCCTATCCTGTGGGAGTTTCTATCTGATGGGAGTGGGCTTCGAGGACAGTGACTGCACAGCTTGGTCAGTGCTGTGATGGAGATGGCGAGGCTGCTGGGGCCCAGGACGTTGTAACGGTCCCTGGGAAAGAGTGAAGGAGGAGGAGGAAGGGCTAACCTAGCCACAGGGGCAGACGAAGGGATTCTAGCAGAAGCAAAACTGGTGTGGTGGAGGAACGGAGTGGAGTGAGAGCGGTGCTCCCGGGAAATGCACATGGTTTGGAGCCGGGAGAGCAGCTGCTGGGGCTAGTGGCAGGAGCAATAGTGGCTGGGCCTTGATCCTAAGAACAATGGGGAGCCATTGAGGAGTCTTGAGCAGGGGAGGTACCTGGTGAGGCTTGACCAGGTCTTCCTGAAAGGCAAGACATAGTAAGTGGTGGTTGCTGAGTTGGTAGATTTGCTTATTGGAGATCTGTCTGGTGCTGTGTGGTGGCTGAAAGAGGTAGGGAGACTGGAAGCCTGTGAAATAGCCCAGAGCCAGCAGTGCCAGGGCCTGAGCAAGCCAGGGCAGTGGGGTAGACTAAGAGTTTAAGGAGGTTGGATCACTGCGACTTGGGTACATGGGGGAGGGAGGGAATCAAGGTTAAGTCTGTCAGTGTGGGCCTGTTGTCAAGTTGCTTAGGGGGAACCCTGGCCCAGGAGGGCCAGGACCCTGGACCAGCCTTTCCTTCCGTGCCTCACTTCCCCCGGCTATGAAGGGATTGGGCAAGATGGTCTCTCTTGCTCTGACCCAGCAGGTCTGTGACATGACTCTGGCCCAGGAGGAGGGACACAGAGCCCACGGTGTAGCTAGCTGGGACCTAGTCTAGGATTATCAAGTCTGGCCGGGTCTGCCATGGCCTGGGGCCAGTGCCTGGCACAGTGGCCGTCTGAGAGGGCATGTCTCCGACCTCTGGGTGCCCTCCCACCCTGTAGTGACTCAGCCCTTCCTGTCTTATCTCCGCCTGCCTGGCTGCCCCAGGCCCTGACTGCATCCAGGGCCTCTGTCCTCCCTGTGACTGGCCCTGGGAGGAGTGGCCCAGCTCTGGGGCCCCATTGGCCAAGCCTTGCCTGGGCCGCACACACCACTGCCTTCCAAGGTGGCTGCCTGCCCACCTGGGATGAGGAGGCCTGGCCTGGCCTGCTCTGATGTGGACAGACTGCCTTGAAGCCCGAGGAAGGAGGTGGAGTCTGAGAGACCGTGCCTGAGGCTGCCTGGGTCTCTGCACCCCTCTCTCTGAGGGGAATGGGGGGACAGCAACAGTGACGCTTGTCCCTCAGCTTGCTTTGGGGGAAGAGCTCAGCCCTGCTCAGAGGGGCACAGTGTTTCCTGTCTGACAGGGCGACAGGGTGACAGGGCTCTCGAGCTTCCGCACTGGAAGTCTCGGCCGGGCATGCCGGTCCCGGGCAGGCTCAGGCCTGGCGAGCCTCTCTCCCACGTGGTGAGTGACGGATGTGGCTCAGGAGGAGAAGGGCCTTGCACCCGAGGGACAGGGCTAGGATTCGAACTCAAGTCTGTCTCTGGTTGTCCCTGCACAAACCGTTGATGAGGTCCTACTGTGTGCCAGGCCCTTCTGGGCCCAATTTGTCTTTGTCCTCTCAGTGTTTGGCCCAGGGCCCAGTACACAGAAGGTGTTTGGTGATTCTATAAATGAACAAATGAACCAATAAATGGGACGAAATGTCCTATCCCGAGTGATGTGGATTCTAATGGGAGACAGAGACTCGTTCACAGGACGGGAAATAGGAGGCTTGTAGGAGGAGGGGTTGACCAGCCGGATCTCAGGCATCATGACTGCTGGTCCAGGGCTTTGTCCATCCTCAGTTTCCTCGTCTGTAAGATGGGCCAACAGTCCTCGCCCTCTGCCTTCCTGGTGAGGACCCAGCAGTGGCTGTGAGCAGGCTGGTGAGGCAGAGGCATTGTGTAGGGGACTTCCCTGTGTGCATGTCCAGACCACCCAGAAACCACAGATACTCTGCTCCCTTTGTTCTGCCCACTTGTCCTCTGCATCTTGCTTCCCCCGTTTTTCCTCAGCACTCCCCAGGGCTTCTTTCTGGAATGTTCTTCCCAGTATCCCTGGCTGTGGGAGGGGCTGGGAAGAGTGTGGGTGAGTGGAATCTGCCCGCCTCTTCCTTCTACCTGCTTCCATACCCGGAAAGCCAGCCGCCCGCATCCACACAGGCCCTCGGCGCACAACCAGGCCGGGAGTGCCTTGGCAGCAGTTACCATGGCGACGGGTCTTGCTGCTTGGATCGCAGCGGCCTTCACACTGCCTGTGAGAGCCTGCGAGCTGGGCAGCCTGGCACCCCACTGCCTCCACAGGGGCTGAGAGCTCCTGGGGTGGCTGCCCTCCTCTGCCCCCTTGGTGCCCAGCACTGTGCCTGACACGCAAGGGCTCTCGGGAATGATTGGCATCTCTGGGAACCCACAAGTTGTTCTGGCTCAGACAGGCCTGGTTCAAATCCTGGATCTACCATGTAGGGGGTCAGTGACCTTGAACAGTTCACCTCAGTGTGTTTTGAATTTATCGAATTAGCTACAGGAGCCTTGTGGGGGGAATTATCTAAGGAGTGTAGCACGGGAGCCGTCACCGCCCCATCCTGCAGCTGTGGCAGGCTTGCCGCCGCATCCAGGCCGGGGCCCTGCACGTCTCATCTGATCCCCAGGAGGCCCTGCAAGTAGTGGGGTGCGGGGGACAGGAGCTCAGTCTGGGGTCACAGCTGGGCTCTGCCACTTACTCAGGACTCGGTGTCCTCATCTATAAGATGAGGATAACAATGGATGTCTCACAGTTTGTTGTGAGGATAAAATCGTATGAGTACATATAAAGTGTTTATAAGGATATGTGACACTTAAGTGCTATATAAACATTAGTGGGGACAGTTGTCACCACCACACAACTGGCATTGGCTGTAACAGTTGGAACCCACGTGCCTGGTCCTCCTCTTTTTCTTCCACACGCAGGTGTGCCCAGCACTAGAGTTCATAGTCTGATAGGAGGGCAGCCCGAGAGACGGGTCGGCGGGTTGCCTGTGGCTTCCCTCATCCCCCCTTCCGAGGGACCAACAAGCACACCCCACCTCTTCTGCCTGGAGAGTAAGACAGGCTGGGCTCCGGGCAGGAACCCCAGCTTGAATTCCTGGTCCTCCAGCCGGAAGCTGCCGCACCCTGCCCTGGATCAGATGGCTGGTCAGTGGCTGCCCTGAGCCCTCCCGGTCAACAGACCCAGGTGCTAAAGACACTAGCATCCAACCGCAGCTCTCCTGATGTCACCTGGCAGATGAAGGAGCCCAACAAAGAGGCCCTTGAGGATGACATCGGAGCCGCTTCTTGAAATGCTTTCTTAGGAACAATTTCCTGGGCTTGGCTTCTGCGGGGCTGTCTGGGCCTCCTGCGTAGACGGGGGGATCTTTCAAGAATGAAGGTAAATCTGAGGCGACACTTCAAAAAGTGGGCCCACAAGCTGAAGCGAGGAGGACTGACTTCTCTGCGTGTTCCTCTCTCCCCTGCCCCTGCCTCGGGTCCAAGGTCGTGTTAATACGCACTCGTCAGCCAAAAGGAAACGGGGCAGAAGTGGCATCCAGAGAGCCCCTGGGGTCTGAGACCAGGGTCTGGAGGTGCTGGCCGCTCTTGAGTCGAGTTCTGGTGCGAGGTGGCCCCGGGGCGCTCTCTCCTTTCCCTCCGGCCCTAAGGTCTCGGGGCGGGGCAGGCCTGGGAGTCCCCGCAGTGAGCTGACCTCACTGTCCCCACCCGTTCTCAGGGCTTTGCCTCTGTGTTCTCGAGCCGCACGTCCCGGAAGTCAGCCTCCCGTGCAGAGGACGACGGCGCCATGGCGGATGGCGAGGGGTACCGGAACCCCACAGAAGTGCAGATGAGCCAGCTGGTGCTGCCCTGCCACACCAACCAGCGCGGCGACCTGAGCGTCGGGCAGCTGCTCAAGTGGATCGACACCACGGCCTGCCTGTCCGGTGAGGCCGCGCTCCGCACGGTTCTCCCGCCCCCGGCCCCACAGACCCATGGCAGCGGCCTCCTTTCAGAGACGGTCACTGTCCCCTCTGCGTGCCACACTTGTTCCTCCTCCTGGCCTTTGCTCGTGCTGGTCCACCTGCCTGAAATGCCCTTCCCAGTTTCCCAATGCTTGGCGTGGCCCGTCCTCCCTCCCTCAGACCCCACAGGCTCAGTGGTGGGCCCGGCCGTAGGTCCCTGCTTCAACCCAGAGCAGCCGTGAGCGTGGCTGCTTCAGGTTCGCTTGTCCGCCTCATCGCGCTCCCTGCGCTGAGTTGAGCGAGCTGAGCTGGGCCGAGCTCATTTCATTCCTCGTGTTGCGCCATATTCTCCAAGCCGCAAGGAGCTCACAGCCTGGCCGGGAAGGCGTTGGGGACAGACAAGTGACCCAACTGGCCCCCAGCACTGTTTGAGAGGCCCTGACCCAGCCCTGGGGGCAGCGAAGGGATTCCAGAGGGGCTGAGGCGCCGAGCGCAGTCCTGAGGGAGAGAATAAGCAGGCGCAGGTGCTGGAGAAGGCCGGGAAGTGGAGCAGCGTGGTGTGAGCGTTCATTTACGCGACAGATACTTAGCGTCCGCCGTGTCCAGGCACTGTTCTGAGACTGGGTGCAGTAATGAATGGGACAGACAAAAATCCACATTCTCAAATAACTTACAGTCTAGCAGGGAGGAGGCGGGGGAGAGACACTAGACAGGCAAAACTCAGCTAAACAGAGCGCGGTCAGGGCTGGTGACGGCAGTGAAGGAGCATGGGGAGGGTTGGGGTGCGTGCAGCGGGTGGCTGGAGCGGCCTCTTGAGGGGGTGGCACCTGAGCAGAGGCCAGTGCGATGTGGTGCAGTGGGGAGGCTGCTAACGTCTGGCTTTCTTATCCCGATGTCAGCGGAGAGGCACGCTGGCTGCCCCTGCGTCACGGCCTCCATGGACGACATCTATTTTGAGCACACCATTAGGTGAGTGGCCTCTCCTGCCTCTGGATCCTTCCGGTTTCCCTTCCGTGAGCCTGGGGCCCACTCCCTGGCTCCCTGCTTGGTCTACCTGTGTGCTGCCCGGAGCCAGACTCGACTGACCCAGGGCCTTTGAAAATAGAGTGGGGACAATCTCTGGGGAAGCAAGGACCCACCTGCAGGGTCTCTGGGGCAGCGGTGGCCAGGAGCTGGCCGGCTGCTAGGTGCTCTGGGGTGGGTTCCCTGGGCCAGGGTTGGGCCACAGAAGTTGCTTCATGTTTGGAATTGGATGTTGCTGAGACAGCGTCGTGGGGTGCTGTGTGACTTTGGGGAAGTGATTCTCTCTCTCTGGGCCTCAGTTTTCTTATCTGCAAAATGGAAGGAATTAGATTCAATCAGTGAATGCTTTTTTGAGCCTGGACATTCTCTGTGGGTCATTGGTCACTGAACTGTAGGGAGGCCCCTATACAAGGTGTCTTGGCAAAGTCTGAGCCAGAAGCTTGAGCCGTTCAGCCTCTGCTCACATACCCCTAGGGACAAGGAGCTCATTGCCAAGGTGGGCTTTTTTTTTTTGATGGCTATATTGGTTAGGAAGTCCTTCATTCCAGTGTGCTGTGCTGAGCTTCTCTCTGTAGCTTTGCCTGTAGGTCCTGCTTCTGGGACTCAAGGAGGAGGCCAAGCCCTCGGCTGAGGACAGGCTGCAGGGGCTGCGCTTAAACTCACCATTGGTACCTAGCACATCAAGTTCAAGGGCTTATTCAGGACTTCCTGGGTGCCCAGTGTGTCAGGGTTAAGGAAAAGCTCGGCCAGTCCCTGTACTCACTCAGTTATTCACTCACTGTGAGCGCCTCTTCTAGACCAGGGCCCGTGCTGGGTTTGGGTACACAGAGTCCGGGGGAGCACAGTCTCTGTCTGCAGGGGAGCCAGGTACGGAGCATCGTTTCAATCCAAAGTGAGACATTCCATGCTAATAATGAGCTCTGGCATGAGGATGCTCTGTAATAGTTTTCTAAATACTTTTTATTTTAGAATAGTTTTAGATGCACACAAAAATTGTATCTCTAAAGACAGTACAGGGTCCCCATACACCCCACACCTGCCCTATTGTTAACATCTTACATTTGTAGGGTACTTTGGTCACAAGTAATGAACCAATGTTGATACATTATTTGTAACACCTTTTTGGTATATTAATTTATTTAGGCCAGGTACAGTGACTCATGGCCATAATCCCAGCACTTTGGGAGGCCAAGGTAGGAGGATTGCTTGAGGCCAGGAGTTCGAAACCAGCCTGGGCAACACAGTGAGACCTTGTCTCAACAAAAACTTTAAATAGGCCGGGCGCGGTGGCTCACGCCTGTAATCCTAGCTCTCTGGGAGGCCGAGGCGGGCAGATTGTTTGAGCTCAGGAGTTCGAAACCAGCCTGAGCAAGAGTGAGACCCCGTCTCTACTAAAATTAGAAAGAAATTAATTGGACAACTAAAAATATATAGAAAAAATTAGCCGGGCATGGTGGCACATGCCTGTAGTCCCAGCTACTTGGGAGGCTGAGGCAGGAGGATCGCTTGAGCCCAGGAGTTTGAGGTTGCTGTGAGCTAGGATGATGCCACGGCACTCTACCCTTGGCAACACAGTGAGACTGTGTCTCAAAAAAAAACAAAAAAAACCAAAACAACTTTAAGTAACAGCCAGGTGTGGTGATGTACACCTGTAATCCTAGCTACAGGTGAGGCTGAGGCAGGAGGATCACTTGAGCCCAGGAGTTCAAGGCTGCAGTGAACTATGGTCACACCACTGCACCCCAGCCTAGGTGACAGTGAGACCTTGTCACAAAGAAAAAACCTTCCCCCCAAAAATTACATTAATTTTATTTATTCCTCAAAACAACACACTGATGTCATGGCTGTTAGTATCATCACTTTACATATGAGGAAACTGAGGCACAGAAAGTGAGGTAGCCCGTTTAAGGTTGTACAGCTAGTGAAAGACCCAGGATATATTACCAGGCAGGCAGTCTGGCCCCAGAGCCCTTGCTGTTAGCCAGTGGTCTACATTTCCTGTATGTCTGGGGTGGGGGTAGTGGCATAAAGGGTAGTCAAGGAGTCTTCCTGGAGGAGATGTTTGAACTGACTCCCATTAGCACTGCATCTAGTGGCGCTTTGAAGGCCACTGGAGCCATGTCTGGGCCAGCTCCAGGTCCCTGCAGCCAGCACAGGTTGTTTTACTCAGAGGAGCCAGGGACAGAGAGTGCTGCGGTGCATGCCCGAGGGGTGGACCTGCTGCAGGGCCCAGCAGAGCGAAGGGCAGAGGGAGGCTGCGGGGGAAGGGAAAGCCTGGGATGATCGGCTCAGGGGCCTGGAGCAGGGCTGGTGGCCAGGAAAGCCCTGGCTGCGCCTGAGAAAAGCTGGGGAAGGTTTTTTGTTTGTTTGTTCCTGCTTTTGCCATTTAAAAATAATTCCAAATGTATCTCTAAAAGCTAGGAACTCTTTTTAAACATAACCTCAGCATCCTTACCACACTTAAAAAACTTGACGACAGTTTCTCGCCAATATCAATATCTAGTCAGTGTTTGAATGCCCACCGTCTCATGAACTTGTTTTCACTTTGTTTTGCTTTACAGTTACTTTTGTTATTCAAGTCAGGATGTAAATAATTTTAATTGGTGGCTATGCCTAAGTCTTTTTTATTTTATTTCTTTTATTTTTAATGTTTATTGATTTGTTTTGAGACTGGATCTTGCTCTGTTGCCCGGGCTGGAGTGCCGCGGCATCATCATGGCTCACTGCAGCCTCAAACTTCCAGGCTCAAGTGGTCCTCCTGCTTCGGCCTCCCAAAGTGCTGGGACTACAGGTGTGAACCACCATTCCCGGCCTCTGAGTCTTTTAAAAAAAAATCTATAGATACTGCCCCACCTGCCCCCACCACCAGCCATCTCTCTCTCTCTCTCTCTCTCAATCTGTTTTTTTTTTTGAAATGTATTTGTTGAGGAAAGCTAGTCATTTACCCTCTTAGAATTCTCCACCATCTAGGTTTGCTGTTGGTATCACTATGGTGCAATTTAGCATGTTCCTCTGTCCCCTGAGAGTAAACTGGTCAGGGAAGGACTCGACAGGGGTCAGATTTGTTCGTGGGGGGCTGCCTCCTGTATTGTGAGGAACACCTGGTGGGGTGTTGGGGAGCTACAGGCTGCAGGGGGCCCCTGAGGAGGCTGGTCTGTGACCCTGGGGAGGGAGCTGCTTTGGCCTGAGCTGTGGGGTGGAGGACAGTCAGGGGAAGAGAAGCTCAGAAGTCCATATGGGGTCCAAAGGGGTGTTTGCTTGGCTTTGGGGGAAGGTAGGGAGGAGGAGGAGGGGAGGGGGAAGAGTCACAAGTTTCTCTCTTTTAGCACCATGGGAAATAGACTTTTATCTTTATATTGGGGACTGTGGAAGGTTTTTGTCCCCTAATTTTTACCCAGGAAAACTTTCGAATATATAGAAAAGTTGAATAGTGCAGTGATCACCACCATTGAGACCCAATAATTAAAATTTGGCTAATATTCCTTATCTGTATACAGGTAAATAAATACCTCTCTCTCTCTCTCTCTCTTTTTCTGCTGGACCATTTGAAAGTAAGTTGTAGAAATCATGACACCTCATCCCTCGACACATCAGCATGTATCTCCTAAAAGTGATCCTCCCCTATGTGATCATTAGTATTGCTAAAAATAATGAACAGAAATCAGATGTCTGGCAAGCTTGAGCTCATGTCACTTGCTGAGTGCCTGCTGTGGGCCAGGCCTGGCACTCTGCCCAGTTCCACTTCCTCTTAACCCTGAGAACCACAGACAGTGGTCTTGCATTCTCAGGAGGAGAATAGACAACAGAGAGGTACAGTGACTCACCCAAGGTCACACAGCTTGGTAGTGTGACAGTCAAGGCAGAACTTGACTGGAACCCACACATTGTGGCCCCTTGACCTGCCCCTTGCATGGACCCTTCCTAGGCTTGGATAGGAAGCTGTGTCATTTGAAGAAGAAATCAGCACTGTGCTGTCCATATTCATGAGCCAAGGTGCAGACAGGTAAAAGGACATGCTCAAGGTCACACAGCAATTGGATGGGGCCAGCATTCCAGCCTCCTGCCCCTCCTCCCCACAGCCCATCAGCTGGGCACCCTCTGCTCCCTCTGGTTAGGCACAGGGCAGGCTAGATGGCTCCTGGGGATTCATCTGGATGCGGGAATCATTCCAGATGGACAGGCTAGGCTGCAGCTGGGAAGGGTAGGGCTGGTGCAGTCAACAGAGTCAGTCTAGAATCCTGGCTCTGCCACTTTTTAGCTGGGTGACCCAGGGCAAATGGCTTAACCTCTCTGATGCTCAATCCCCCCTAAACCTTCCTGCCAAACTTGTTTTGAGGCTCAAATGAGGCAGTGCCCAGTGCCTGGCATACAGCAGGCATTCTTTAAATGTTCCCATTTCTCCTTCCACCTGTTGTTTATAGCTTCTTGTACTTAGTCGATGTTTAATAAATGTGGAGTTTATTAATTCAGTTGGCCACCATTTATGGGAGACCCACCGTGTGCCATGTGCTAGGGCTTGGAGGGTCAGTGGGGAGCAAAACATGTGGTTCTTGCCCCCGTGGGGCCTCCAGGTTGTGGGGGACAGAGGTCAGTCTGCTAGAGAAGTGTTGGAGGGCGAGCCCCATAGGGCAATTGGAGGATGGGGGCTCCCTGAGGAGGAAACCATTGCACCAGGAGCAAAAAGAAGCTCAAGCATTAATGGGACACCGGTGAGCAGGGGAAGAGGGGATGGATGAGATCACACCACTTCTCTCAACCTCAGCTTCTCTACCTGTGAAATGGGGTGCTGACACTAGCTTGGTGGCTTGCTTTGAGGGCTTGGTGACATCGCAGATGTGAATATGTTCTGTAAGCCATGAAGATCCCCCCAGCAGAGGCCTGCGAGTATCAGAGGCCCCTGTTCCCTCCCTTGGCCCCTCTGGAAGGCTTACCTCCTGCTTTCCTCTCCCCAGTGTTGGACAAGTGGTGAATATCAAGGCCAAGGTGAACCGGGCCTTCAACTCCAGCATGGAGGTGTGTGGGGTGGGCACTGCCTGGGAGTGGGTGTGCGGGAGGGTCCTCTGCCCCCTCTCCCCGTTCCTCACGGCCCCCAGCCCAGGCACACTCCATTCACAGAGCCCTGGCTGGGGGAGCAGAGCTCTGAAACGGCTGGCACAGGTAGGAGGATCCTAAGGATCTTCCCGTCCAACAGCTCATTACACAGAAGGGAAAATCAAGGCCTAGGGAGGAGAAGGGACTTGCCCTGCTCACTGAGCTATGTAGATTCCAGCATGGGACTCGACTGTTCTCATCTAGCCCTGGTGGGCAGGCAGTTGTGGGAGTGGAGGGAAGATAGCCGCAGCGCCTGGTCCAGAGGCAGAGAGGCTGGGGCAGGAGAGGACTGGACCGCGGCCATTAGCTAGCCGCCACAGTCTCCTCGTCTGTCCGGTGGGAGGGTGATTGCACCCGTGTTGCAGGGTTGCTGAAGGTTCTGTGGGAGCACTGGCTGGTGACGCCCAGGGCCCTGTGAGCTGGGGGGGACGACTCCATTTCCCACCTGTGGACTTCAGGCCCAGGCAACTTCACCCCGCTGAGCCGCTGGTTCCTGAGGGACAGCGGAGTCCTGACTTTGCTTCTGGCCACCACATAAATGCCCAGGTGCCCCCAGGTGTCCATCCTTTAAATTTACCCACCGTTTTACCTGCTTGAAGCCCTTTTGTGGACACAGTCTCATTTTTGGCCTCTCAGTAATGCTGTGAGGGCAGGTGTGATCACTCCCATTGCACAGAGGCGGAAACCAAGACCAGAGAAGGGAAGTGACTTGCCCAAGGTTTCCCGGGGAGCCAGGGACAGAGTTGGAACTACCCCAGGTCTCTGGTCCCCTAGACCCAGTAGGTGGTACAGAAATACCAGAGGCCTGGCCTGGGGGGACTTTCTGTCTCCGTCTGGGGGGCCTCTCTTGATGAGCTCTGTGTCTTTCCTCCTCGCTCCTCCCACCTCACTCTTGCTGTCCAGGTGGGCATCCAGGTGACCTCCGAGGACCTGTGCTCTGAGAAGCAGTGGAATGTGTGCAAGGCCTTGGCCACCTTTGTGGCCCACCGGGAGATCTCCAAGGTGGGCGCCTATACCTGGCTGCTCAATGCTGCTCAGTGACCCGGGCACTTGTCATGGTGGGCCTGGGTCAGGGTGTGAGGCTGGGGGGGAGGGGAGGGGGCTTGGCAGGGAATCCGTAGCCCCCAGAGGCAGGCCCACCCCCCACTGCGATCCAACCCCAGGCGCCTCCCTTTCTCCTTTCTCTCACCTCTCCCTGCCCATCTCATGCAAGGATTCTTCAGGTCTCACCATTTCTCACATCCCACCTGACAACCCCCAGCCTCTGAGCCTTTGCCCAAGGAGGGGACCTGGGGAGCATGTGGAGGATGAATGTGCTGCATGAGGGCAACATGGAGGCAGGAAGACGGGGCAGAGGGGAGGAAGCCTGGCAACAGACCAGCAGCCCAGGCCTGCTGTGCGCCCACCCTGGGCATGAGATGGGGTGGGGACAGGCCCCTGTGCTGTTTTAGGAAGCTGGTCCTGAGCATCCCTTCTCTGTCCCCTGGCCCGCAGGTGAAGCTGAAGCAGATCATACCACGGACAGAGGAGGAGAAGACCGAGCACAGTGTGGCAGCCGAGCGCCGGCGCATGCGCCTGGTCTATGCGGACACCATCAAGGACCTCCTGGCCAACTGTGCCATTCAGGACGGTGAGCAGCTGCCGCCATGCGTGGGGAGGGCAGCTGGCATCCCGCAGGCCCCTCTGTCCTGAGCGCCACTGGGCAGGAGGAAGAGAGGCTCCCAGGGATTTGAACCACTGGTGGCCCCAGACCTGTCCAGCCCTCTTGGCCCCAACGTCTCCTCCAGGGCAGGGGAGTGTTCGGGCCTCTCATCCAGCTCCCAGCAACTGCGAAGGTGGGGCTAGGCCACATGGAAGTCCCTTTGCTGTCCACAACATGCATTTGGGTCTCTAGGAGCCGAGGTGTTTAGGAAGGTAGAATTGAGCTAGGCCTTGAAGACTCTATAGGATTTTTTTAAAAAAGCATGTATATATTCCCCAAGCTATGGAATAAAAAGCAAAACTCTCTTTCAGCTTCATTACTAAATAAATGGAAAAAAAGAAAAAAAGAAAAAGCAAGACTCCCTCCTATCCCAGAGCCCAGGTCTCCCTCCCCAGAAGCAACTACTGTTTCCCATCGTTGGCTATATTTCCAGAAGTATTCCCTGCATATTTGAGCATAGTATGTATTATTTAGCCTCTTGCTTTTACCCAAAAGGGAGCAAACAGTACATACCATTCTGTATCTTGCTTTTTTCACCTGGCGAATATATCTTGGAGGTTGTTCTACACCAGTACACAAAGATCTACCTGGGACTGGGTAAGATGGTGCCAGGCGGACTGATGAGGAAAGGTGTCCGGACAGGGGACAGTCTGAGCAAAGGCCCAGAAGGGGGGACCTTGGATTTGTTTACGAATCTTCAGAATGTTCAAATGTGTGTCTTCCTTGAAAGCCAAAGAAGGCAATTTTAGGAGAAATAAAAGGTCATTCAGGGGCTTGGCATAGTGGCTTAGGCCTGTAATCCCAACACTTTGGTAGGATGAAGTGGGAGGATCACCTGAGGCCAGAAGTTCAAGACCAGCCTGGGTAACATAGGAGATGTTACAGATACAGATACAGATACAGAACAACAGCAACAACAAAAACAAGAAACAAAACAAAACAAAACAAAAGGCCATTCAGCTGCCCAGAGTGGGGAGAGAGCAGGTGGAACTCGCTGAGCCCAGTGAAGGATGCGAGCTGTGCTCTGCATTCCGTGTGCCCTATTTACGCGGGGTTTGGAGGCCGGGGCTGGGGAGGCCCCGCTCTTTCCATAAGTGTCAAGGCGCCCTTGATCCACCCATCCCACTGCAGCCCTCCTGAATCCCCCCTGTACCGACAGCTGTTCCACCCAAGGGGCAGCCTTTGCCTGCCACACGGGCCTCTGGCTACCGCGCAGTCTCCCCAGGCGCCTCCCTTCACTCGCTCCAGCTGCAGCCAAGCCAAGCCAAGGCCCCTTTGCGCTCTGTGAATATCCTGCCCGTCCTGTCTCCAGACCTTGCTCAGGCCACCCTCAGCTTCCCCTCCTCCCTGCCCCTGCCCTGCCTGTGCAGCAGCCTGCAAGCCAAGTGAAATGCCCCCTCTCTGATGGGCCCTCCCTGAAGAGGTCTCTCTCTGGAGATGGGTGACGAGTCCCCTTGGGTTGGGTGGGCACATCAGCATCTGCTCTCCTGGTGCCCGAGGCCCCTTCGCTCCCTGGCCTCTCCTACGGAGGGTATCCTAATGCCGCTGCTGCCCAGGGACGAGGGAATCGTCAGGGCAGAGACGGGGAAGAACTATCCTTTTAAAGTGTGCACCTTATAACTGTGATCGTATTTCATCTTCAAGCAGTCCTCCTGGGCCAGATTTGACACCTGCCCTTTACAGACGAGGCAGTTGAGGTTCGGGGGTCACTTGATTTGCCCCAGGTCACGCAGGCTGTAGGGGGTGGAGCTGAGGCTCAGACCAGGTGTGTCTCGTCTGAAAGCCGGTGTTCTGTCCACTGCCCTGTGACGGGCTCATCTCTTTCAGCCTGTGTCCTCTGTTCCTCATCCGGAGCCAGCCTGTGCCTCATGCATGCTGGTGCTGAGTGAATAAAAGAACCTGAGCGGGGTGGAGCAGTGGAGGTGGGGGTCCCGGGGCTGCCCATGGGGAAGGGCTGCCCTTGGGAACCTTCTTACTTTCCTGCCCTCCTCCCTTTGCCCACTCCCTGGTCAGATCTGGAGAGCAGAGACTGCAGCCGCATGGTGCCAGCAGAGAAGACCCGCGTGGAGAGCGTGGAGCTGGTCCTGCCTCCCCATGCCAATCACCAGGGCAACACTTTCGGGGGCCAGATCATGGCCTGGATGGAGAACGTGGCCACCATTGCAGCCAGGTAAGGGGAGAGCATGCTGCCCCTGCTTCTCCACCTTTTTCCTCCTTCCCTTAGCCAGATCCTGGGGGAGGAGAAACCCTCATTTGGTGTTGGCATTCAAGGCTTCAGAAGCTTGGCTGTTCTGTTATGGTAACTCAGGGCTTTCAGACCCAGAGAGGAGTAATTTTTTGTGAAGTGACCATGCCTTCCTCCACCCAAAAAGCCCTCCACAGGCGCCATTGCCTATGTGGGGAACACCAGTCCCTGTGACCTGGCACTTGAGCCTCCCCTTGATCTGGCCCTGCCTGCATTCCTCCTGATATCCCCGCTCCTGTGCCCATCCCTCACCTTCCCAGCCCTGCCTTTGCTCCTGCTATAACTTCTCGGCTACACCCCCTACTATTGTTTGGCTGCTAAAATCCTGCCCTCCTCCTCCACAAGGCCATCCCTGACTGTTCCCTTCTTAGAAGTGAAAATAATTCTTTCTTCTCCTATTACTTCTGTGGCCCCCCTCAGGGGGCTTGTTCTACCCTGAATATCAGGAATGTTTTTTTTTTTTTTTTGAGACAGAGTCTCGCTCTGTTGCCCATGCTCGAGTGCCGTGGCATCAGCCTAGCTCACAGCAACCTCAAACTCAAAGGCTCAAGCAATCCTACTGCCTCAGCCTCCCAAGTAGCTGGGACTACAGGCATGCGCCACCATGCCCGGCTAATTTTTTCTATATATTTTTAGTTGTCCGGCTCGTTTCCTTCTATTTTTGGTAGAGACGGGGTCTCACTCTTGCTCAGGCTGGTCTCGAACTCCTGACCTCGAGCGATTCTCCCGCCTCGGCTTCCCAGAGTGCTAGGATTACAGGTGTGAGCCACCACGCCCGGCCTATCATGGAATTTTTAATAGTTGTGATAACTGACATTCACTAATTGATATTCTCACAGCTCCATGACTTTGTACTTGCTGTTCCCTTGGCCAGGGGTGCCCTCCCCAGCCCATGTCCTCCTCAGCCAGGTCGATTCTTCCTCATCCTTTGGAGCTGGGTTCAAAGGGCTCCTCCTCCTATGGGAGCCAGTGCATAAGCAGGGCCAGTTCAGGCAGCCCTGCTGGGAGCTCGATGAGATCTGAGGAGGGTGAGCGCCTGCTGGTCAGGGAAGGCTGCCTGGAGGAGGAGCTCTTCAGCTGGGCCTTGGGTGATGAGTAGCTTTGGTAAGGGGAAGGCTCCAGGTAGTGGGAACAGCAGGTACTAAGGGGTAAAAGTTGGAAAGAAAATGGGGAAGGGGTTTACCCCTGCCTGAGGCCTTCTTCTGCCACCTCGAAGTCAGCTCCTTTCCAGCCAGGCACATAGACCTCAGTGTTCTAAGCTGTGAAATGGGACTTTGGTTCTGTGCCTCTGAGCAGAACTGTCACGGATTTGGGTGGCAGTGGGTAGGTCAGAAGGTGGTGGGGGTTCCAGGCTCTGTCTGGGGACAGGGCAGGGAGAAGCCTGGCCCAAGCTAGTGGCTGAAGTGCTGGGGGCATTTCTCCTGTCTCCCCACCCCCTGCCTCCTCAGCCGGCTCTGCCGTGCCCACCCCACACTGAAGGCCATCGAGATGTTCCACTTCCGAGGCCCATCCCAGGTCGGGGACCGTCTGGTGCTCAAGGCTATCGTGAACAACGCATTCAAGCACAGGTGAGGGGCTGGGCTGGGCGTGGCTCTTCCTCGTGCTAGGAAGGACCCTTTTCCTGCAGACGAGGTCTAAAACCCTGCCTGTCTGCTGGGTCCCCTCACCGTCACCCAAATTCACTGTGATGTTCCCTGGAGCCTTCCCTGGCTCCCAGTCCTGCCCATCCAGGCTGGGTTGGGGCCCCTCCTCTTGCTCCCCCAGTCCCCGAGCCCCCCACGGTCTCAGATCACACCATGTGCTCAGTGCGTCTGCCTCTCGCCCCTTCCGTCTGGCCCACTGTGGACAATGGATCTCGGGGCCACTTCTTGCCAGTGTTCATTTGCTTACCAAACCTTTCCCACCCACTTCCTAAAAAATTAGTCCCCGGAGTCCTTACTTTGGAATGAATTCTGATGCCTAGGCCCATGAAAACTTACTTTACATAAGTATATTTTTTGGTGATATCAGAGGTCACGATACAATCATTAAAAGTGAGGGATCTGAGCCAGGCCACCTGAGTTCAAGTTTGGCTCCACCTCTTACTAGCTGTATGACCTGGGGCAGGTTACTTAACCTCTCTGAGCCTCAGTTCTTTCACCTGTAAAATGGGGCTCCCCACAACGACCTCACAGTTGTGAGCATTCAATGGAGTGTTACTGGCAGAATGCCAGAGGAAACGTCCCGTAAAGGTCGGCCCTTGCTGCTATGATGATGATGATTTTATTATTATTATTATTACTGTTGCTATTAGCAGTCTGACCAGCACACATGCTGCTGCTGTGCAGGGGAAAAGCCCTTTCCCAGGAACTGCAAGACCTGGTTTCTAGTCCAGATTTTCTTCCTGACTGGTTATGTGACCTTGGGAAAATGATTGCCCAGTGCTAGGTCTTGGTTTGCCCATCTGTATGATGTCCACGTTCTGTGATCAGAGAAATTCCTAAGCAAGGGGGCATGGTGGAGGCTGCTTTTATAATTAATAAAGTTGATAAGATATCTACAAATAGGAGCAGCTGAGCTGTTAGGAGCAGGGCTGTCATAGGGCTTGTGGATATGTGCATGATGAACATTTTTTCTAATTAGGCTGTCCACCTCCACCTCCTGGGCTATGTCCCTTCGTAGCCCTTTGCAGTTTTTGACTACATATTATCTTTGCTTTCTTGTTTGTTTCCATCTCCCCCAGCTGTTGGCCCATGAGGCATGGACTGGACAGGTATATTAATTTCCGTGTCCCACAGGGCTGGACACACAGTAGGTGCTGTGTAAACACTGATGGAGGGAGCAGTTCTGGGTGTCCTGCCAGTGGCAATGAGCCACGTTGCTGGAAGAACTGCAGGAGTATGTGTGCACACATGTATGCATGTGTGTATGTGCATGTGTGCGTGCATATGTGTGTGCGTGTGTGCTGGGGAGGGCTGTGGCCTTGGGAAGGTCTGTCCAGCATGGAAGCAGCTCTCCCTCCCCGCAGCATGGAGGTGGGTGTGTGTGTGGACGCCTATCGCCAGGAGGCAGAGACCCACCGGCGGCACATCAACAGCGCCTTCATGACCTTTGTGGTCCTGGACGCAGACGACCAGCCCCAGTTGCTACCCTGGATCCGGCCCCAGCCTGGGGTGAGTGGCAACAGCTCCCTGCCCCCAGCAGCTCCCCTCCCCCTCTCTCTGCACAGGAGGGGTGGGGCCTACCAGCCCCCTGATAGGCCTAGGGGCTCGGCCAGCTCTGAGTGTCCTTGTGCAAGGCGGGCACCCTGCCTAACAGAACTTGGAGCATGCATGTAGGTCTGGCTCATGGTTGGGTGTTACTGGGCCCTCACAAGCCTGCAGAGTTGGAAGAGCACTGGAGTCGGATGTGGGTTGGAACCTGACCTCTGCTGCGTTCAAGTGGGTGCCCTCTGCCAGCTTTCAGCCCCCATCTATGAAGTGGGCATACCTGCAGTCCCTGCCTCACCAGGGTGTGGGTGGTATATGGGCTGCTGACTGTGCCTGGCTAAGCCCTGAAAGCTCTCAGTACAGCACCATGGTGACAGCAGAGCAAGGGGCCCAGGGACGAGTCAGGGCTTGGCTTCAAAGGCTCTTAAAATATGCTCTCTGTGCCTCCTGTGGGCCAGGCCGTGGCCACGGAGAGGCCATCCCTCCCTCTGGCCTCCCTTCCTCGCTGCCCTGCCGCCTGCCTCCATGGGCTGTGCAGTGCGGCAGTCCAGAGTGGGTGGATCGGGAGCTGTGGCCACGGCTGCTCCCCGTGAAGTTGTCATGTTGTGTTTGCATGTGGGGGACGTCAGAGGTGGTGGTATCAGGGGTGGGCTCAAGTCAGGCCACGGGGTTCTGATCCTGGCCCCGCCTCTTACCGCTATGACTGGGGCGAGTCACTCAACCTCTCTGTCTCAGTTTCCTCCTCCGTGGACTGGGAGAGTGCTCGCAGCAGCCTCTGCGGGCTGTTGTAGGGATTCCATGGAATTGTGGACGGAAAGCACTTGGGGCTGGCACGTAGCAAGTGCTCAATACATGTGGGCTCTTGCTACCATGGTGAGTGCCCTCTAAGTATCCATTTTACAGAAGAGGAAACCGAGGCCAGCGAGGGGAAGTGTGTTCCCAAGGTCACTCAGAGAGTCTGAGGGTCCCTGGCACTTTCCTGGCCAGGAGGTTTTGATCCAGCTGCCCCGGTGAGGCCTGAAGTTCACTTTAGGGCTGCAGGGCCTCCTTGCACCCTGGGGGTGGGGAGAGGGCAGGGATGGGGCAGGGGACTGGCTGGGTGTCCCTCCCACACCACAGCCTGTCCCTACTTCCTCCCCAGGACGGCGAGCGGCGGTACCGAGAGGCCAGTGCCAGGAAGAAGATCCGCCTGGACAGGCGAGTGGGGCTGGGCGGTGGGTGGGAGGTGGGGTTCAGGGCTGTCCCCTGCCCCGCTGAACCCAGGGCACTCTCGTTTCTTCAGGGCTGGGCAGGTTGGGCCCTTCATGGCACACCCGTGCAGCCTCTCGTTGGCCTCAGTACACAGGGGTCTGATGGCCCGTTGTGCAGGCGAGCGTGCTGGGGACAGAGGGTTAGGTGGCTTGCCCACGGGCACACAGACAGGCGTGAGCGGCAGAGTCAGAATTCGAGCCTGGCGGGGTCTGGCCAGTTTGAAATGCTGAGCTCCTTCCACCGGCTCTGACGCCCGAGTGGCAGATGGAGCAAGAGAGGCTCAGAAGGAGACGCAGTTGCTCCGGACGGAGACCCAGGTGTGTCTGACGCTGCTGTGAAAGCCATTGACAAACTTTAGAGGCTGTAAACACACCAGGGTTCACAAACCGCTGTTAGTAAGAAAGTATGCATTTATGCAGCACTTACTGTATGCCAAGCACTCTTCTCCTTGTGATGACCCTATGAGGCAGGTATGATCACCGATCCCATTTCACAGATAGGACATTGAGGCATGAGGGCGGAGTCGTTGAGCAGGTGTGTCGGGGACTGAGCCTTAACCCTGTACCCTTCTGCCAGTTGGTTCCCTGCCTCCGCGCTGCCCGTGGTGTGGTGGGCTGTGGTCATGTGCTCTCCCCTAGGCTCCCCAGCAGGCAGGATCTCCCACGCAGCCTGCAGTGAAGTCTGTTGAAAGCAATGGACTTTCAACAGCTGTCATCTTCCCTTCCTTTTAGGAAGTACATCGTGTCCTGTAAGCAGACAGAGGTGCCCCTCTCTGTCCCCTGGGACCCTAGCAACCAGGTAAGGCCCTCTGCTCCAAGGGGATAATCCTCGGGCCCACCAGGGCCCCCACCCTTCCCTGCTGGTCCGAGTGGCTTTGGAGGAAGGCCTGAAGGGAACAGGGTCATTGGTACCATGCCATGCCTTGCGACTGGTTCAGTTAGCAAAGGGCTCGCTGTGTCCCCTGTTCGAGAGGAGGGAGCTGAGACCCCGAGAGGCAGAGCGACGTGTCTAGGGTCACACGTCAGGTTGAACCAGCCTTGACCTCCTTTCCCAGAGCCCAGGGCTCCTCCCGCAGTACTGCCCCGCTTCGTCCCCCTGGGAGGGGGCAGGGTAGCGGTAGCGTCCGTGTGTTCTTCCAGGTGTACCTGAGCTACAACAACGTCTCCTCCCTGAAGATGCTCGTGACCAAGGACAACTGGGTGCTGTCCTCAGAGACCAATCAGGTAGCTGGCCCCGCTCCCAGTCTTTCCTTTCTGCTCTGAGCAACTGGAAGTGGCGGTGGCAGGTGACAGGAACTCTCACCGCTTATGTCAGAAGGGGATTTTCTCAAAGGAATTGTGTGAGGTTGTGGAAACAGCCGCCCCTGCAGGGCCTGGAGAGGACCCCCAAACCCTTCTCTCCTGCCTGCCCCCCTTCTTGCCGCGACCTCTCGTGTCTGCTGCTCTCTGCCCAGCCGCTTCCTCCCTCCCTCTCTGCTCTTCTGCATCCAGTCGCTGCAGGGCGGGGGCAGTGGGCAAGCCCTGACCTCCGCCACCTGCCTGTGCCCTTGGACAAGCCGCCTCCCACCTGTGACTTGAGGCATGGGATGGGCACCTGGCTGGGACCGTCTGCTGCATGTTGCCTCAGTTTCTGCTTCTTAAGGCCCCCTCTGGTCCGTTTGTGCTGCATTCTCTCCACAGCCCGTCTTCATGGGGATGCCACTGAGGCTCAGCGGTTTTGCTGCTCGTTCCCGGTCACACAGCGTGTCAGCGGCAGCCCTGAGCTTCCAGCCCCGGCCTCCGGCATCCGGCATCCCCATCAGCCCACCCCGACACCCAACATGGTCTGGGGAGGGGCACAGGATTGAGGCTGCCCTCTGCCCAATGCAGGTCCGCCTGTACACTCTGGAGGATGACAAGTTCCTCTCCTTCCACATGGAGATGGTGGTGCATGTGGATGCGGCCCAGGCCTTCCAGCTGCTCTCTGACCTGTCTCAGAGGCCGGGGTGGGACAAGCACTACCGGTGAGGGGCAGGGTACGGGCGGGGCAGGGTCCGCTCTCAGGCCTGGGCGGGGAGCGTACCTCCTCCTTCTGCTCTGCCCCTGCTGGCTTTAGGGGGCTGGGCTGGGGTAGGAGCGGGGGTGAGCTGTAGCCAGGTGGGCGTCAGGGTCATGGGTATTTTGGAAGGCACTGAGCCTGGAATTGGAGTTGAAGGCCTCAGCTTAAGTCCTGTTTCTGTCCCAAATAGCTGCGTGACGGTGGGCAAGTCACTTCCTTTCTGGGCCTCAGTTTCCCCCCTCCTAAAATGGGTACTTGGCCAGGTACAGTGGCTGCTCAGGAGGCTGAGGCGGAAGGATGGCTTGAGGCCAGGAGTTCGAGGCCGTAGTGCACCGTGGTCACGCCCCTGAATAGCCCCTGCACTTCAGCCTGGGCAGCATAGTGAGACTGACCCTCGTCCTTTAAAAGACAAAATAGGTACTTGGGGGGTGGGACATAGATTTACACTCAGGGATAGTGATTTTCAAACTGTGCTCTGGAGTTATGTTCCCAAAGGGGGTTCAGGAACTGTTTGGGGTGGGTTGGAAGGCCGAGGG